ACACAGAGGAAGAAGGGCGGGAGTTGAGGTGGAGGAATCAGGCAATTCCAAAAGCTGATAATTTCTGGTTCGGATAGGACTAAGGGGGCAAAAAGGGGGTACAGGTTCGGGAGGAGCAGGCATCAGTGCCAGGGGCCGGTAAGGTGGTGGCAGAGGTTCTTCTTCCTCGGTGGGGAGAATTGGGCATAGCTCAGGGTCAGGTTTTGGTTTCACTTTCAGAGGTGCCAGGAGAGAAGGAATTCCAAATTGAAGCTCAGATGCTTTGAGAAACTTTTTAAGCCAAGAAGGTAGATCACTCACTACAGTGTCCCATGGAGGAAAAAAAAAAAAAAAAAAGAAGGTGGATCACAAATGAGATCAATCCAAACCTGAGCTATAGAGAAATTAAAACTACCTGCCAAGGGCCAGTTAGGAACCCTGGTAGGCCATTCAAGCTCACAGAAAATACGGAGCTTCCCAGAATGTACTGGTTCTCCATATCCCTGGGCTCGATCCTTGGAATCTCTGAAATGATTAAGAACCAAGGTCAGGGGAGACAAGGGCTCTGATGATGATGCCTGGCCCATAATTATCAACAACTGGTCAATGACAATGACACAACACAAGGTGCCACAGAACACAAGAAAAACTCAAAACACACACACAAAGGCTTCTCAATCCACAGTTGTCTGGTGACCGATAGGGAAACAATTTTCATTATAACCCCCAAGTCCAAGAAGCCACATGGAACCTGCAACAATAATTTAAGAGAAATTTTAAAAAACCTAAATGTTAGTACTGAGGTAACAGATTTAAATTTAAATGAATAAATGGCTTCACAGTAAAAATATACCAAGCACAAAACCAAAAAGGCAAAAAGCCCCAAATCACAAATGGGCTAGAAGCCCTTTCCCGGAGGGCGTCCCGCTCTGGTGCAGAAGGAGCCATCCAGGCTCGTCTGCAACTTCAAATGTGCACACTCAAATTACAAAGACCAAAAGACCCAAATACTTACAGATGGTTCAAGCCAATCAATCAGTGGGAAAAAAAATGTGGGGAGGGGTCCCCATGTAATCCCAGATGGACCCCAAATAGAGTACCCCAAAAAGACCCCCAAGATGAAAAATGGGGAAAGACGACATCATTTTTAAAAGAAGCGCTTTTATTTTAGCTGGCCCAGTGACACAGTGCAGATGAAATTTGCAAAGCTGTGCAACTGAGTTAGAATTTTGACTGATTTTTATAGTTCATTTATGATTAGCTCATTGATCATTAAGTACATAGTGATGAGAAACAGAAATAAGGTGGGCCTTTGTTCCCCTTTGCTTAAGGTCAGAGGCATTTCACCGTGGGTGGTTAGCCAATTCATAGCCCTTGGTCTGCCAATTCCAGGAACATTTGTCTCTCATAAAGAGAACAACGGTTGACACAGCATCATTTGTCTCTTACAAGGGGAACAAAAGTTGACACAGCAAACAGTTTACTCAGGGGACGACGCATCAGCATGATGATGCGGTCAGTTAATCTATAACTAAGTGGTTGATGAAAACCATATAACTATGGTTACTAGGGTAATGAGCTCAGCACAGAATGACAATACTGCTAATAGCTATCCTTTTAACTAAATTTTTTGCTAATAACTATCTTTTCATTAACTATTTTAATTTTTCAGCATTTTAGTACAACAGTCATAGTTCCAAAACTTGGCCAAAGTAGTATTTTCGGTTTGGTTTTAGCTTGGTGCAATAATAAAAAGAAAGATCATGCTATCTGTTATGGGTTGAGAACTGGTGGTCAACTTAATGCCAGCTGGATTACATCAGCAAGGCATTGAGTGAAGATACTCCATCTGAGGAAAGTTGCCAGGATAAATAGGTGGAGAAGAAGGGAGGTGTTGAGGGGTTGAGGCGTTAAGGAAGCACTGTGGGTTCTCCTACAAGTTGCTGTCTGAGCTGTTGGTTCTCCTGGAGAAGCTTTAGTCCTCACATTGAGCATTGCTTCCTGGCTCCGGAGGGAACACATGTGCTGCTTGGTCTCCAGGATGAACTCGTCACACTGCTTCCTGGCACGAACCCAACTGTGCTTGTCAGAGGAAGAGCTCGGGGCCTCCGTGTCGCTGAGGACAGCTGTGGTGCCTTCAGGATAGCCCTGGTCTTTGTTGTGAGTGTGACTTCTCGGCTCCAGCATAGAACCCTCATCCCCCTAGCACAGCTCCTTCATCCTGCTGGCATAGACTTTCTGGCTTCCACCGCTGACCCTTGGGTCTTCCCAGCACGGATCCATAAAAGAGACTGGCGTGAGTCCTTCTTGTGGGCTCTGTACCTCCAGTTGGACTCGTGGGAGGCATTGTTCTGAGCTCTGGATTTTTATCTGGACTCATGTGGGACATTGCTGAGGAGTTTAGGCTCTTGATTAAATAATCTATGTCTTTGGTGTTGCGGATAGATTTCCTGCATTTTCCTGTGTTAACTTCTGGTGACAATTATAAAAATATTATAAACTCCATGTCCCAATCTCAATTGTTCTCTGTGTACAACCCCTGACTACAACACTATCTCTTTTCCATCCCACAGCACTTTCTGGGTGGTTTGTGGGAGACACAAGAAATAGGCCCTGGCTGGCTGATGACCCAGGTGGAATCGGTGGTGTATTGTTGCCCCCTGGTGGTTGTAGGGCATCATAGCAGGTACGCAGAGGTAGATCTCTCACCCCTTGATTGGGTGTATGCTAAATAGAACTCTATTTAACAAACTCTATTTAGCATAGATATTAATCTAACCCTACATTTTGCGGAGACTTCACAGTAACAGCAATAAAAACCCACACTATCCTTTTTTTTTTTTTTTTTTTTTTTTTTTTTTTTTTTTTTTTGTACTGGGAATCAAACTCAGGACCTTGTTCTTGCCAGGCAGGCATTGTGCCACTGAGCTGTATCACTAGGCCCGCACTTTCCTTAATTCCTCCCAGGAGTTTTCTTTAAGAGAAATTCAGGGAAAGAGCAGGGTGCGTTCGCACATGCATGCAATCCCAGCACTTAGGAAGCTGAGGCAGAAAGACAGCAGTGAGTTGGAGGCCAACTTGAATTACATAGCGAGGCCCGGTCTCGAAATAAATAACTAGAGCAACCCATTCAGGACCCCTCCTGTCTCTCATGAGCTATTCCTCTTCCTTGTTTCCTATTCATTCCCTAGTCCTGTTCTCCAATAAATTTCCCCATTCTTAACCTCCAAAAAAAGGTAAATAAATAAAATATTTTTAGCAAACATTGGTGGCTAATGTACTCATTTAGTGTAAACGAGATGGTATGGGCACATGCTATTTTTTGTTTGTTTGTTTGTTTTGACACAGGATTTCACCACTCACTTCAAACTGACCTTTAACTCACTTTGTAGCCCAAGCTAACCTCGAACTCACAGCGATCCTCCTGCCTCAGCTTCCCAAGTGCTGGGACTGCAAGCATGTGCCACCAGGCCTGTTTCACATGCATTATTAATAAAGCTTATTTTAAGTATTGGGGCTGTGGATAACTGCTTGCTGTGGTGTGAAGGGGGCATCTGTGTGTGTTGAAAGGGACAAAACCCAGGGTCTGCCCATGTCTCTCACTATTTCCAGAAAGTTTTAAAATGGAGTGATTTGGAGACATTGCCCCCTCACCTCTCAATTTTGCAGGACAAAAACCATTTTTCTTTCTTTTATTCCTTTTTCTATATTTTTTTTCTTGCTTGCTTTCTTTTCCCACACTGAAGATTAAACTCAGAACCTTCTCACTGAGTTTGATTTTTTATTTTGAGGCAGGATCTTTCTAGGTCACTAAACTGCCCAGGCTGGGCTCAATGTTTTGATCCTCCTGCCTCAGCCTCCCACAGTGCTGGAATTACAAACACAGAGGGAGACTCAGGTAGGAGGATGGCCATGAGCTCCAAGGTTGTCCTGGCCTACAGAGTGAATTCAAGGCCATCCTGAGGGAAGTGAGACCTTACCTCAAAAAGCAAACAAGGGCTGGGGATACAGCTCAGAGGCATAAGCACCTGCCTGGCAAGCCTCAGGTCCTGAGTCCAATTCCTAGTACCAAAGAAAAAAATAGTCAAGCTTGGTGGCTCATGCCTATAATACCAACACTGGCAAACTGAGGCAGGAGTATTGTTTCAAGTTTGAGACCAGCCCTGGGCTACAAAGTGAGCTCAAAGTGAGCACTATGCAGTTCAGGTACAGCCTGAACTGCATAGTGAGACACTGACTCATAAAAGACAAAATTAAAAAGCAAGCAAAATAAATACAAGTCTAGTCTACTCCATCATGCACAACAAAATTAAGCTTAAACTTGTTTTGTTTTATAGTGATACCAATGTTTTACTAAAGGTAAGAAAAGAATTAAGCTCTGCAGAGAAATTTTGGGCCAAGTAAAAGCAGAAAAAGAAGTAATCCTACACTGTGAGAGCAGCCACCAGGCAAGAGGAAACACAGTGGCCCTAAGGATTGAACTTCACCTAATTGTTGACGCCATGAACTCTCTTCTCCCATCTATTCTGTCACTGGGGCTAAGTGTTTTCCCTGGGTCCAAGGGAGAGCATCTACAGGAGAAGACAAGAGGAATGGAAGAGGAAGAGGAGGATGAAGAAGAGACAGGAGGAAGGAACAGGGGGAAATGAGTGCTTCACATTTTCCATATTGGAATGGAGCTATTCCCCTCCTGAATATGCTCGTAAAAGAATTCAAGACATTGTAAGCACAGCGCTGCACACATAGTTTACAGCAGCACCAATCGCACCGGCTACATCTTGAGAGCAGCCTGTATGTTCACTAACAGGTGAATGGACAAAGAACACGTAGTATTTATAGACAATGGAGTACTACTCTGCCATAAAGACAAACAAACGTAAGTCACATATGGGAAAACAAATGCACCTTTAGACCACAACATTCAGTGAAATAAATCAGGCAGGTAAGCTTGAATATCACGTGATTTGTCGTATATGAGAAATCTGAAGTGTAATTAAAGAGCAAAGTAAAAGACAGACAATGTACTTACCTGGCAGGGAAGATGATATGATCATGAAGATGGTTCCCCAGGGCAAGGTTTATCCATTGCACCGAGAATATGCTGACTCCTGCAATTTCCCAAATATGGGAAACTCAGCTGTGTAATTTACGGCACTGGGAGACTGCATTTGCACTTTCCCCTGGTTATTCCTCAACAAAAGTGAAATGAAAGTATTTCTACACCAACTTGCAGCTGCCCTTCAGCACTAGAGACTTCCTCTGAAACTTTCTTTAGCTACAGTAAAGGCCCCCGGTGCACTGAAGCTCAGGTGAAATGCTCATCCTGACACGTGGATTTTGTAAATATCAGGAAGTCAGAAGTTGTACGTCAGGTGCTCTGCGGCCACAGTGACACTGCAGAAGACAGCATAACAGGAAGACAGCCGGAAAGCCCCAACGTGTGGGGATTACACGTCTCTGAAAAACACACGTCGAAAAACACTCAGCAGGAATTAGACATTTCCGGATGAATGAAAAGGAAGACACAATCCCTAAATGTTTGCATTACAAGGAAAGTTGCTCCAGAGGGCAACGCAAAGCATGGAGTGAGCTAAGCATGTCGCCTAAACAAACTGGAGAACAGCAAGCTGAGTCCAATGGAAGCAGACGGAAAGGGAGGGAGAGAGCAGTAAGGATCAGCATGTAAATCCACGGACTTCAAACAAGGCGTGTTGGGGGGAAACCCAGTGAAACAGAGGGCTACCTACTTGAAATGGTCTGTAATTTGGATAAACCTCTAGCTGGCTGACCAAGAAATAATGAGCAAAAAAGTGTCAACTACTAATTTTTAAAGAGAAGAGACTTTCAGGTTCTCGTTACTGATCTCACGTGATTTAAAAAAAGAAAAGGGAGAAATACTCAGAACAGCTCAGCTCTCAAAATTGGTACAAGAGATTAGATGACCCAATTCTTTCACACAGTCTACCAAGATTCACTCAAGGTCTAGTAAACAAATCGGATCTACCAAAAAAAGAAGAAGGATGGATAGTAGGAAGACAGAACTTTCTCAAAGAGGAAAGGGGATTCAGAGACGAGAGGAGGAGGGAAGGCAGGGGGAATCAGAGGGCTGAAGATGTGTTATGTACACACAGCAGCTCCACGCTGTACAAGCAATCCTTCTGGCAGTGATAAAAATCTGCTCTGGGCTGTGGCGACTGCTCAGCTTCACAACCACACAGGGTGGAGAAACCATATCCAGCTGTGGCCCTGCCCTGAGGGACACCAGTATGGGGGCATCCAAGACCCAGCTCCAAAGAGCTCCCATCCCCTCCGCCCCTAGCCAGTGGGAAATCAGACGCTCCCACGGGGAGTGTTCAGAAGACAGCCTGCATCAGGAGACATGGAGAGCTTTCCAGAGACGGTACAATTCCGAGTCAGAAAGAATGAAGGGAGTGGGACCACCCGGGTGGAACAGGTGATTTGAAACTGAGGTAAGACGGATTTGAATTAATCCATTCTCCTTCTATTCAACCACCCCCACGTGAATTCCTCCTCCAGTCACAGAAAATTGATCCTTTTTCCACTCGCCTGGAAGACCCAGGACCCACCCTTTCTCCTGTAGCCCAAAGGTGTGATTTAGAACCTGTAGTCACCGGACAACATCTCTCACTCCTGCAGGACTTCACACCCTCGATTTCCTCTCTAGGCGCAGATGAAAAGCTAGACTCCTCCCTGCCCTCCCGGACAAGGGCAGGGTCTGGCTGGGTCCAGCGTGGTGTTCTTAGATTGTAACAGCACACTCAGGGGTTACCCACGGGAAACCGAGAGTCAAGAAACAAGAGAGCTTGATTTGGAGCTGCAGAAATCAGCAGTCAACTTGGGCAGTTGAAGCTGCTGACCTCATGAATATATATATATTCATGTATGGGGAGCCCGCACCGGGGTACAGTCACGTCTGTCACGGCTCTAACCTGTTTCCTAGTTCCTTCAGTCCTAGTTGGAAATGCCTCCATCCAACCCAAGTAGCAGCTAACTTTTGTGTCTAGTGTTAGTTGTTTTAGTTCAATAAAGTCAACCTTAACGTCCTCAGATAGCAAAGCCCCTTGCCTTTGGACACCCGGCTGCTGTTGAGGATGCACAGCGGGGCTGCTACAGGCATAGGCTTCCTAAGGAGCAGCTACTGAGGCACAGGAAGCCCAAAGTCTGGGTACAAAGAAATAACGACCAAGCAAATTGGAAATGGCCATCTTCCCCAGGCGGGTGCAGCTATGTCTTGTATTACACAAAGTCCAAGAGTTTTAAGGAGAAAAGTCTTTCCTCCTGGAAAAACCCGTCACCCATTAGTGGTTTCCTCCGCCTTTGCCCACTTAAGTTTTTTCTGGGAATACTGGGGTGGGTTGAGTACAGGGGCATTAAAACAGCAGCCAAATGAAGCTGCGGGCCCAAGGCACTTGTTTAGCAGCCTTGTTGGCTCTCCAGTTTTCCTGAGCATCTCTTGACTCCCCTCTCTGATGCCCTGGACAGTGCCTCCTGGCCATCTTAGAGGGCAGCCAGACCGCTTGGAACAGGTTTAAAATCTCCTGGGGAGTTTTTAAGTTTTTGTTGTTTCTGTTGTTGTTGTCAAGAGGCCTCTTTCCCAGTAGATGGCGCCATGAACCTGCAGGGTAGCAAACGCATCGGGGGTCAGTAGAGATGCTTCCCCTTCTGTCTGTCCCTTCCTCCAGAGCAATGTGCCATTAGCTCAGCCCATTAGCTCAGCTCCTAGAAGGATCTAGGAGGCAAAGGCTCTGAGGGGACCCTCTGATCCAAGGCGATGACTGCCATCTCCGCCTTTGGACCCCATCAGCTACCATGTTGTTGTCATCAGAGAATAAAATCAAGTTGGGGTCTGGAGAGGGTTGTCTTGTAGATCTGACTAAGGCGAATACACCTTCTCAATGACATTGGCTCAGTTATGTTCAGATGGGCTCCAAGAAGAGGGCAAAAGAGAGACAGATTAATGGTCTGAATAGGTCTAACGGTTCGTCTGGAATCCTCTAACAAGGTCCCCTGATATTGGACCTGGTTCTCAAGAGCTGCTCACCACCAGGCCCTCTCAGCAAAGTCTCTACTGTGTGTGGTACAGATTTATACTTTGTCCCAGAGTCCGTTTGCTTGTTTTCTTTATTGGTACTGTGGCAGCTGCTGAGGATAGACAAGAGAGCCATCCCACTGACACTGGGTCCAGCCTTTAGACAAGTATGTCACAGGCCACTTCCAAGATCCCAAAATTTGTGCTAGGATGCCCTGAGCAGTCCTTTTTTTTTTTTAATGAATGAATAGCTGGAAAGGTTTTGTGATGTCAGGCAGCCCTAGGGTAGGGGCACTTAGTATGGTTGTTTGGTTTTTTGTTTTGAAGTCCTTGAAGGCTGCCTGCCATTCAGGATTTCATTTTCATATGAGAGTGTTTTCTTCGCCTTTTAAGGCCTCCTGCAGAGGTTTAGCAATAGTCGCAAAATTAGGGACCCAAAGCCAACAGTATCCTATAGTTCCCAGGAATTTCCTCAGTCCCTTCTTGGTAATGGGTCCCCTCAGGCCCTGGACCCCCAGGCTGGAATACATGAAGTCGCAGGACCCGTGTTGTATTATTTAACATAAACCCCACAAACCTAGCGGTTTGCAACAAATTTGAGCCTTTTTCCTTGAAACCTGATACCTTTTCTTCTTGGAACAGTCCCAGCAACCTCTTAGTTCCTTCCTGGTCAAAAGCAAACAATCTACATGCTGTAACAGGGAGATTTTAGGACTTTTTTGGCTGAAAGGGATGAAGTCTCTGGACAAAGCTTTTTTGTAACTTATTTGAGTTATTTCTAAGCAACAGTTACAAAAGATTTTAATTTTCACAGTACCCTTGATAAGAAAATAAAATTGAAACAAAAATACATTTTTAACAATACAACATGGTTACATAAATTTGCTATATTGTTTGATAACTTACATTTTTAAACTGGACATTTCTTTTTTTACTTTTATTATTTTTTAAATTTTATTTAAAGAGAAAAAAAGCAAAACAGAAAAAAGAGTAGGAATAATACAGAATTTCAAAAAAATAAACCGTAAGAAATCACTAGTTGATAAGTTACTTATTGTCCTCTTAGAAATAGTTGTTCAAGTTACAAAATTAAAGCATACAAAGTGGATATTCAAACAGTGAGACTGCAAACAGTTCTATTTCAACTGGACATTTCTAAAAACCAGTATCTTCTAGCAACAAGTTAACTTCCAAGTTAAAAATGGAAGCAGATATTTTTTATCGGTACTGGGGATCGAACTCACAACTGCCTGCTTGCAAGGCAGGCGCTTATGCTGCTGAGCTAAACCCCCAGGCCCAGATAATACCAATTAAGATTGGTAATTTAACTCTAGAATGAATCTTGTGTTTTGATATTGTAAGGACACCTGTAAGCCTACGTCTATAGGTAGGGATATAGCTTATTGGCACAGCACCTGCCTGGCAAGGACAAGGTCCTGAGTTTCATTCCTGGTACAAAAAAAAAAACTTTATAAAGTGTATCTCTTTACAGGAGATACTGTTAAAGCAAATTAAAGGTGTTTTTACTCTTAAAAATTTGTTCCTCTGCTGGGCGTGGTGGCTCACATCTGTAATCCCAGCACTCTGGAGGCCTAGGAGGGAGGATCATTGTGTTTGAGACCAGCTGGGGCTACAAAGTTAGCTCGAGGCCATCCTGAACTGCACAGTGAGATTTCATCTCAAAAAAGACAAAAAAAAAAAAAAAATCTGTTTATCTCCTGGAGCACCAGGAAACCAAGCAACCCCTCCCTGCCTGGTGAGCAGCTGTGAGTGTGGCAGGCTCCGGCAGCCCAGGAAGGGAGCCACTGGCATTTACTGGGACTTGCACCATGCTGGGACCTGGAGCATTGGGAAACCAAACAAACCCGCCCCCAGTGAGGGGCTGTGAACATGCTAGCATTCGGGCTGAGAATTAAACATAACATCTTCTCCCCCACCAACCCCATCCCAGCACGGCCTCTCTCCCCACTTAGCAAGTGGGAGCCAGTGACCTGGACATCCCTTGACAGACTGACCATAGGTAATACAGCAAATAGGGGGATTTGCTTCTACCATTTCTCTGAAGGCAAATACTTTTATCCCTGCTTTGTTCTAATTAATGGTGTTATTTTCATCTGTTTTGTTTTGTTGA